TTCAAAAATTTTCAATCATTTGACAGTAAATGCTCGTTTAATCTACAAAGAATAACATTCTTTTTAATCAAAAATTCTCTCAAATGAATTTTAAATTAAAATTTTAAACAAAATCTAATTGTAATCAAATCATTGATTAAATTTAGCTAGGGATATAAATGAACTGAGCTTGAACGAACTAGATTTTTGTTCATGTTCATTTGTTTATTTTTGAAATTGTTCATGTCCGGTTCATATTCGTTTAAATTTTTAATATTGTGTTCATGTTCGCTTATTTATTGTTCACAAACATGTTTGTTTAATGTTCGTGATCATGTTCACTTTAATGTTCATGAATATGTTCGTTTAGTGTTTGTTTACGTGTTCAATTTTTAGTTTTACACTTTCATTTGCAAGCTTAAAAAATGGAAAAATTATGCTAAGATTCTTAAACTCTTTAAATTTATAGTTTAAGTTTCGACTTTTATCATGTGTTCAATTTACTACATTCACCAATATTTAAAATGTAAAAAAAATAAAAAGAAAAAGAGAACTGGGTGAACGAGCTTGTTCATGAACATAAACGAACTTATACAGGAGCTCATAAACGAACTTATACAGGAGCTCATAAACGAACTTATACAGGAGCTCATAAACGAGCTGGTTCATGAACATAAACGAACCGAACACACATGTTTTCATGTTCATTCGTTTATTAAATGAACATAAAAATATACCAATTTTCATCACCCAATTTCCATTCCTAACTTAATCCCAACAATTTGGTATTTATTTTGCTTAAACTTCAACCCGTTTTTATATTTATCTATTTGAGAATTTCATCCCTTTACTTTATGAAAACTTCAAAGTTAGTCCCTTTGATATTTTAGAATTCAGGTGTTGTGTTTCATGAGAACTGAAAAGTTGAATCATGTTGTTAGTAGACACATGGACTATTTCTAAAGGTTTTGAGACAGTTGATTGTCACTTTAGCCTTTTCTTCAAGGGTGGCAATGTCATTCCTTGCACTTTAACTATACACCCCTATGTCCCAATAAAAAAATTAAAGACTTTCATATGATTTTTTTTAACTAATCACTAGTATCTGATCTTTCGATCGATTATTCCATATTGAGTTTTATAGAAACTCACTACGAAGGTAACTCTCCCGACTTTTTGTTCCATATGCAAACAAGATTCGAAGATTCGAACCTCTAACCTTATTTAAAAAATCTATGTCTCATCTCACTAGATCAACTGGTTATTAGTAAAGATTTTCATGTGATTTTAACTGCTCTATATTTGATAATATCCCTATGTCTCAATTTAAAAATTAAAGACTTTCATATGATTAAAAGATAATAATTTTATAAAAACCAATTTAGATCAGAACTGATCGAAATTAGGTATTTTGACCATCTCTGTACACCCCAAATTTTTGTATGGTACAATAACCAAAAATTAAGAAATTAAAGTAACCAATTTCTTAATTTTTATAAACTAGAGGACCAAACTAAAATTATAAAGGGAAAGGGAAAATAGTTAAAACAACCCCAAAAAAAGAAAGTGGTTTCCAACCAATACCAACTCCCTGCCCCCTCCTTTTTCTCTTTTATTTTATCTGTTCTCTCTCTTTATAATCTTCCATCCAACACTCTTCACATCCCAAACAGGAATTTGTGTTCTTTCGGTAGAAAACCCAAAATGCCAGTGCCACCGGACACGAGCAAAACCATGAAACTGGAGAGATACAAAAGCTATGTCCGAAAGCTCCATAGCACGAAGCTGTTGAATGCTTCGTCTAAGTTCCTTTTCCGAGTGACGCTTCTCATTGCTTTGGTTTTGATCCTCTTTTTCACCATTAATTACCCTCCGCTTTCGGATAATGGTCACCGTGTTCCTCCCCTCCACCGCCACAGCTTCCTTTCCACCTCGCTTTTCTCCGGTAGTTCACTCGTCGGTGGGGCTTCGTGGAGAAACAAGTCCGGCACTCTTCCACGCCGCGTAGGCTCAATGGGTTCTCCGTTTTGGTCACCGGCGCCGCCGGGTTCGTGGGGTTACACTGTTCGCTCGCTTTGAAGAAACGCGGCGATGGGGTTCTGGGGCTCGACAACTTTAATGACTACTACGATCCCTCGTTGAAACGGGCGAGGCAGAGTCTTTTGAGCAAGCACCAGATTTTCATCGTCGAGGGTGATTTGAACGACGCGCCGCTGTTGACGAAGCTGTTCGACGTCGTTCCGTTCACTCACGTCCTTCACCTGGCGGCTCAGGCTGGCGTTCGTTACGCCATGCAAAACCCACAGTCGTACGTGAGATCCAACATCGCCGGATTCGTTAACCTGCTCGAAGTAGCCAAGGCGGCGAACCCACAGCCCGCCATTGTTTGGGCTTCGTCGAGCTCGGTTTATGGACTCAACAGAAAACCCATTCTCCGAACGCGACCGTACCGATCAACCGGCGAGTCTCTACGCCGCCACGAAGAAAGCCGGCGAGGAAATCGCCCACACTTACAACCACATCTACGGTCTGTCCCTAACCGGGTTAAGATTCTTCACCGTGTACGGCCCATGGGGAAGACCCGACATGGCTTATTTCTTCTTCACCAAAGACATCCTCCAAGGCAAACCCATCGACATCTACAAAACCCACGACCAGAAAGAGGTGGCGCGTGACTTCACCTACATCGACGACGTCGTAAAAGGCTGCCTAGGGGCGTTAGACACGGCGGAGAAAAGCACCGGAAGCGGCGGAAAAAAGAAAGGACCGGCCCAATTGAGAGTCTACAACCTGGGAAACACATCGCCGGTCCCCGTCGGACGATTGGTATCTATCCTGGAAGGATTACTCGGCACAAAAGCCAAGAAACACGTGATCACGATGCCCAGAAACGGCGACGTACCCTTCACGCACGCCAACGTAACCCTAGCTTACAAAGATTTCGGGTACAAACCCACCACCGATTTAGCTGCCGGGCTGAGAAAATTCGTGAAATGGTACGTTAATTACTTCGGGATCGAATCGAAATCGACGAAGGGAACCCAACATGCCGATGAATCCAGTTAAGAGCTTCGTGATTTTCATTTCCATGGCTGCCATTTTCTTGCTAAATTTTCTCTTCATTTTTTCTTTTGTTGTGGTGAATTATCGATGTAAAAAAGAAGGGATCAAATCTGGTGCCGCTGTTGTCGATGTAGAATATTTGATAGAAATTTCATGAAATATAGGGGTGAAATGGTAAATTGAAAAATAACGATACGGATTGAGAAACTGTAGATCTGTGGAGATGAGGTGTAATAATTTGGTGGGGTCTGCTAAAACAAGGACAGATCTCGACCGTTTATTTTATGAAAAGAATTGGAAAAAAAATATTGTGATTGAACAACAATGATGACATTAAGATTCTTGTTTAATTATGAATATAGTGTATATTTCATTTTGTTTTTATTTATCATTGTGTAACAGTTCACCGATTCAGAAATTAATTTTTTCATCGTATTATTGAATTGTTGATCATTGATTCAAAAGTTAAATTCTTCATCGTGTTATTGTTGATGATCGATTCAAAAATTAAGTTCTTTTTTTAAGTAAGTGTCACGTGTAAACATCGATTCAAAAATTAAGTTCATCCATAAAAAAACCAACTTCTTTTTCTAAGTGAGTGCCACGTAAGTCTTTTTCTAAGCAAGTGCCACGTAACGCACATTCACGACTGGAAGTGTGTGAAGCGAGTTTGAGACTTTGGATCCTATCAGAGCTGTGTCACGTAAGACTTCCATTAATGGGTTAACGAACATTAATGGGTTAATGAACACTAACGATCGAAAGACTTTAACCTAACAAACCGATATCGTTAAGGGATTAAATAGGCTTAATTTGTTAACCGATGACAAAAATTGATCAGATTGAAAACAAAAAGATTATTTTCGCCCAAAACGTATTTTCGCACCAATTTAACCCTCAGAGTCGTTTAATTTTATCAACCTGTACCCTAACACTAACTTAAAATTTAAATTTCAAACCCTAAACCCTAAACTTTAACCTCCAAACCCAAAACACTATATCTTAAACCCTAACTAAAAACCTTAAACAATAATAAGATTTTAAAAGTTGATACAGTTGAACAATTTCAAAGGTTAAATTAATACAAATATACGATAAAGATAAAAATACAAATTAAGTCTACTACGAGAACAGAAGTAACCCTTAAATCTAAAATAAGCTACATATACCTTAATTCCATAGTAGTCAAATAATCGGTAATATAACCTGAAAAAAAACATAAATTTTAAGTTTTTTAAAATAATTTAGATTAAAAAAATAGTAATTACAACGTTATCAGGACACAAGAATGAAACAATGAAATCTAACAAAATCAAAAAGAGAAAAAAAATAACATGAATGAAATAAAATCCATTTATTCCATGTCAAAGGGATTTTAATGATCAAAATAAATGAAATGAAAGTTAAGTGATACAATCTGTAATTTACCCTAATAATATCACACAAATTATTACTGTTTAGATCCAAAATTAAATAATCCATTATGCTTTATTAAAAAGATATCAAGCCCCAAAAGAAGATGATAAAGTGACTTAAATGAGTTTTGGAAGAACAATAATTGGATGAACTTTCCAGGGTAGAAGACTTCATAATCAAGCTTTTTACATAACTAATTAAATAAAAAATTAAGTAGACAAAGATCCCACATATCATGCATGATAATCTTGCACTATTTCTAGATACGAGCATCGACACTAACTCGACTTGACTCGCCATCAAAGACCGAAGCAAAATCATAATTTGCACCCTACAACGGGTATGTGACCGGTGATCTTACCTGTACCCGTGTTTGCATTAACGATAAGCAAGCAGACTCCATGAAGGTCCCTGCAATGTAAGTCGGGATAACTTGCAATGAAGATATGTTATAATCGTAACGAGGGATGTCGAAACCCGAAAGCAAAGCTTACCGTGCCAAAATAGATAGTGTATTAGGACAAACAATGGGCAAAATTTTACCTTATAGCATGAAGTAAATAATAGCATACGTTCAGCAATCCTTGAAATAAATACACACATCCTTGAATCTTAATAACTAATTGCTAAAGAAACAAGTCCTTGGACAAGTTCCAAGACGAGAGCCTAGAATTCTGAAACCCCACCAAAGCCGCCTCTTCCACCACCGTTGCCACCAGAAGGACGAGGACCACTAGGCCTATCAGTAGCATAGCTAACTCGAATATTTCTCCCCTGGAGTTCCTACAATTTCAGTTAAAAAAACTATTACTTTGTGATTCATCAGAAACATCTTGCATTTATCAGTTAAGTTTGTTTTCCTCACTTGTCCGTCCATGGCTGACAAGGCATTGTTGGCAGCTTCATCGTTAGCATAGTCAACAAAACCGAAGCCCCTGGACCTCCCAGTCTCTCTATCGACGATAACTCGAGCTGATAATTACAGATCAGATAGTCAGAACGAGAATAGATATCAACATCGATCCGTACACAAAAAAACAAAATGATCAAAATCATTAACAAACTGCGCGAGACAAACTAGTTACAACTTCGATTAAAATACAAAGCAACACACTCACTCGCACTCCTCATTGATCAACTTCTACAAGAGAACTAGACTAAATACGAGATATATTATGCAACAATCCGCAACAAATATCATACAATGTAACCTTGTTTATCTGTTCCAAATTAAATGGTAGTTTCTATTTCATATAATTGACTAAAACAATCGTAATAATGTCATTAGAACTACCAATACAACTCACCTTCAGTAACCTCACCGAATCCAGAAAAAGCTTCCTTGAGAGTTTGGTCACTGGTTCCATATGAAAGACCTAAGAACCAAACATTCAATTTGAGTCAAAATACAAAGCAAAAGACACCAAAATCAAGTTTCCAACCAACAAACAAAAATGTATAAATACCTCCAATGAAAAGCTTTTTGCTCGAAGTCGACATGCATCGAAGAGAGTACAGCATGGAAGATATCATTGGGGTTTGCCCATTTTGTCTCAAAAGGCTTCCAAGTTTGCTAGAAAGTGCCATTATAATGCTCAACTGAATCATTTTTTTTTGTAGCAACACCATCAAAAGGAACAAAAGCAAACTACCATGTTAGTTCAGAGCTAAATAGTTTAACTAGTAACCAAAACAAAACATACAGAAAACAAAGAAAAACATGAAGATTTCAGGTCCCTAAAACAAATCTTTTTAAAATTAAGTACAGAAGTGCTTAAAATCTCACTAAAAAGTATAACTTTATACAGAAACAAAAACAAAACCCATAAACAAAATCAACAGAACAGGGCAATTTAACACAAAAGGCTAAAACGGCAAAACAAATAGGAACCAAAAACCCAAATAAAATCGAAATTGAGCCAATGGGTAAGTATAATCAAGATCGAATTATCAAAAGCAACGATTTTTACCTTTAAGAAGAAGAATACAAGGCAGAATTATGAGAGAGATTGGGGAAACGGCTTTAGGGGTTTTGAAACAAAAGATGGAAGCAAGCGGCTAGGGTTTAAGGGTCGGACCGTTATGTATATGTTTTTTCTGTCATTTTATAGTCGGCTTTGTTCGGTAAAATTTGCATTATCGTGAAGGGATAAAGCAGCTATTAGCCATTGAACTTGAAAGTGTTCCCAATTTGATCCCTAGTTTTTTCCCCCACATTAGTCCGTAGATTTGGGCTTCATATTTTTGGAAAAGAAAATTTATTGGGAAACTACGTATTCTGATCCTAAAATATCAGTATAGGTCCATTTTAATACCTAATCTTTCAAATTTTTTAAAATCATACATAATATTTAGTTTTTATTTCATTTTAGTACTCATTGTTAAAAACTTAATGCTTTTAGTATCTAAACTATCATTTTGGGTCCTTTTTAGTACCTAATTTTTCATTTTTCTCAAAACTTAACGTTACATTTTAGGTACTAAAGTGACTAATACTGATAGTTTAAGTACTAAATATATAATTTACCCAAGTTTATTTTGGACTTTGGGTTTCTTAAAAATGGGATTTTTATTCTATTATTTAAAAGATGGAGAGTCTATTATTGGTGAGAGGAAAATTATATCTCAAAACAAAGGTCATGATAGATAACATAGATTAGGGTTCACAAGTTGAAAAGTTTTTATTTTTATTTTTAATTGATATATAATTTCAAATTATTTAATTATAATACATAAGTTATTGATAATAATAATCGACCTAATGAATTTAATAGTTATGCATTAAGCATATTTAACTAACAATGATATATTAAAAATATAATAAGATAACTAAAATGAAAAGATATTTTTTTATTTTTAAGTTTTAATTAATAATAATAACTATATTCACATAAAATATATGAAGAAAGGTTGAGGCTAAATGAATTATGAATTGGGGATTAAAAAAGACTCTCTCAATAAGATGTGAGGCTTGACTGTTTTTGTATGTATCTAGGGATGGGCATGAGTTAGATTAGGTCAGAATTTTGGTTCATCTGACTCGATTTGAGAATTTTAAATCCTCCACTCGATTCGAGCTTGACCCCAAAAAATATACCCCTTTAACCCGACCCAACTTGATTTTTTGAGAAAAATCTGAACCCGAAATAATATATTTATTAAAAATTTTATCTTTATTCAATAAAAATAAGGATTTAATTGAAAGATAATATATATAGGGGTATAATTGTAATTATCCCAAAAAATATATGGTAAAATTTTCTTTTTTTGGTTCAGATATTTTTCACTTTAAACTCAAACCCGAACATAACTTTAAAAAAACCCAACCCGATCCTACCTCAATTTTTTTTAAAATAATCTGACCAAATCGAGTCGAATCGAAACTCATCATGTTCGAGTCTCATGTCCATCCATAAATGTGACTCGTACTATGCACATTTACGAGATTTGGGCTAAGTTGTATATTAAAAGAACTAAGATCTCTCAATGTGACCATCCAATCTTTAACCAATTTTTCATCGTTGACCAACGTTTTTCATCGTTGATCGTTACAATACTGGCATGCATGTTCACGGTGCTGACATTATGGTCCATGGTGCTAACGTGATAGCCTATATATTATGTTTGAGTTACTAATTTAATCAATCTACCATGTCATCCATCGTGTTAATCTGTCGCCCTAGACTACTATGTTAGCAACGTGGATTACCATAACATTCAACGACAAAATATAGTAGTCAAATAACCAAATTAAATTTACTTTCTTAATTGAATGACCACATCGATACTTTTTTTAAAAAAATTACATGAACCTCTTATATATATATTTTTAAAATACATAACCCTAGTTGGATAGTATTAACAATTTAATTATAGAAACTGTGATTGAAGGAAGCAAGTTCACATGGGGGGAGACTTGAGACTCAATCATCCAATGTTTCCCCATTTATTTTTCCAAGGGGAAATGATAGGATTACATGTGTATGGACAGATGGGTGATTTGATAGGCTGGGGTGCTGCCACGTGGTTATTCTCCACTACTTAGAGAAAATGCCAGACTGCCAAGGTAAATATTCTTTGTTAGTTGTTGCTACATGATTTGCCTACAACCACATAGATGTTTTTAATTACTCACATTTGTTTTAATAAATATAGATATTTTAATTTATTGATACATTAATTTAAAAATAAATTAGAACATAAAATTAAGAGTAAGAACAAAGTTGAGTGTCATTGGCCAAGAGACCGGACGACCGCTATGCTTTAAGAAATATTTCTTATAAATTCACAAAATGATCTTATCGATTAAATAAAATGTCATTCTTCTTAAAAAATTTGGATTCAAGTAGTTACATTTATAGAATATTCTAAAAATCACTTTTAGTATAGAGGTGATTGTGATGAAAAACAAAGAAGATAAAAATCAGATTTAAATTATTATTTTAGTAAATTAAAATATTTAATCAATATTATATAAATACTATATAAAAAATACAAAAAAAAACAACTTCTTAATCTAGTTCATATATTTAAATTCCTAAATTAATATATGATATAAAAATAAAAATTGAACTTGTTAAATAATTTTTTTTTATTTTAGATAAGTACAACTCATCATTTGTTTAAAGAAAACTCTCAATTATTTAAATTTGTACACTCACTGATCTAATAGTCTCGATTCTCAAACTCAATACCTCAAAGAATAATAACAATTCATTTATCATTGAGATCTATTGATTCATGCTTATTAAATAATTTTAATAGTATCAGAGTGGTTTTTTGTTTAGAGATTTTAAGTAGTTATGTCCACAGGATTGTATATATTATTAATAACTAAGAAATATTCTAAACAAATGATACATTATAATTCTATAAATTAAAAAAAATAATATAAAATAAAGATTAAATTAAAAAGGGTAAATTACATCGTTCCTCACTGAACTATATTCTCTCATATTTTTCTCTCCCAACTTTCAATTTGATCAATTTGCTCACTGAACTTTACAATTGAATAATTTTGCACACTCGATCATTTTTTCTCTAACAGCGGATGATGTGATATTTTTAATCATTATTTAGTATAAAAGAATTAAAATAATAAAATAAAGACAGAAGGTGGCCATGCTACTGTCGACCTCCGTCAATCGGTCACCGTCGATCGCCGTAGATGATAGTCATTCGGTCCTAAAATGGGAGGGTCGCTTCGCCTCGACACCTTGAGTTTTAATCTGACCTCCATTTTGTCGGAATTTGCTCCGAAATCCACATATTTGATATTAAAAGTGAGAAAACTGAAATGTTTTAGTCTAAATTCACGGGTTTTTGGATAATTTTTGGTGAAACAACCACCAATTCGGACTCAGGGGTCAAGACGAACCGACCCATGAAATTTGAGACCGAACGACCACCATCTAATGTGTTTGATGGTAGCCGGAATGAAAATGATGTGGTGCCGGATGAGAGAAAATGAAGAAGAGAAGGGAAATGGTAAATTACACAATGAGTCATTAAACTTTATTCTCTCTCCTATTTTACTCACAGAAACAAATTCGTTTTGGAGTATATTTGAGTTTTTTAAAACGACATCGTTTTGATGCATGTGTCACATCATAATATCGTTAAATAGTGAACGACATAGGAAGCAAAATGATTCAATTTGTAAAGTTCAATGAACAAATATCAAATAAAAAATTAGGTGAGGAAAATAAGAGAGTAAAGTTCAACGAGAAACAATATAATACACCCTTAAAAAAATATAAAGTCGAGGATTAAAAGTCACTTATATGCAAATATATATGTGCCATTTCGGCTTTCTTTCTTCTTCGGCCTATCTTTATTAATTAATTAATTTTGGTTTTGTTTGGATTAGATTTTCTTCCAATTTCCTCTCGCGCATAGTAATAATAATAATAATAATAATAATAATAATAATAATAATAAGGGTAAACGACATATAGTCCCCTATATTTTTGGTCTGGTTGATTTTGGTCACTAATTTAAAAATTAAAGAGGAATGATCTCTAATATTATTGATCTGTTCGATTTTAGTCCCTAACATTATCGATCCATTAAATTTTAGTCTCTCAGTAATTAACTCTCGTTCGATTTTAGTCCCTCAACCAAGTTAGAGATTAGTCCCTAACTATGAAGGTATTAAAATTAAAAATTAAAGTAGTCTCCTATTTTCGGTATGATCGACTTTGGTCATCAATTTAAAAATTAAGGGGGAATAGTCCTTAACATTATAAATTTGTTCAATTTTAGTCCCTAACATTATCAATCCGTTTGATTTTTGTCCCTCAACAGTTAACTCCTGTTCAATTTTAGTTCCTTAGCTAAATTAGGGACTTAAACAAAATGGTTAATAAATATTAACAACTGATGAACTAAAATTGAACAAATTGACAACGTTAGAGACTATTTTTCCCTAATTTTTAAATTGATGACCAAAATTAATTAATCTCTAAACATAAGAAGTATCCACATACTTTACCCTCATAATAATAATAATAATAATAATAATAATAATAATAATAAGGCCTTCTTCTAACAAAGAGAGCTCTTTATATTTCTCCAAATACCAAAAAAAAAATAACAAAAAAAAAAGCAGAGAAGAACAATCACATAACAGGTAGAGAGAAACTGGGGATTGAACTTTTGCTTACTTCTACTCATTTCTGTAATTTATGGTTTTATAATATATTTTTTATTAATTCGACAGCAATAATAAAGAAAAAAAACTGTCTTGTTCATTCCTACAATGCCCAATTTGATGCGGGCAAGGTACTAATCTAATCTTCCTGATTACCTACAAATTTTGTTTTATTTATGAACTGATTTTTTGTTTAACGTTTACGCTTCGAATCGAAGCTTTCTCTTTTGGCTTTTGATAGATACCCATGTACTCTCATGGTACTGGGAGAAACGAAAGCTTCTTTTTTTTAAATAAAAAAAACGTTTTAAGGTTTTTCTTTTGATTATTTGTTGGGTGAAAATTTGGGGTTTCTCAAAGTTTAATGGGTACTTGATATTTGCTCAGTTGAAGTTTTGTTTGATTGGATTTTTCTTTCTAGGGTTTTCTTCCGGATCAACAAATTGGGGGGGGGGGGGATTTCCTAAATTGGGAACTGATTGCAGTACCGAATTGGGGAGCTATCTCTGTCTAGGTTTAGGTTTCAAACAGATTGCTTAAGGGAAATGGTGATTGAAAAGCTTTTGGACATGGAAGAAGATTGCTTTCGTATAATTCCGTAGATAGTGATTCAAAAACTTGAGGATTTAGTTGTTTTAAGCGAAAGGGTGTTTGGGGTTTTAGTGATTTTTATGTGGTTGATCTCAATTGGTGGATGATTTTGGCATTGGGTTATTGTTGGGAGAAGGAGGTGATGAACTGATGATTCTTTATTATGCTGCTGATAACAGAGAGGCTCAGATTGTACTGGACTATTTTTGTTTCTTGAAAACCCATTTGGTTTGTCGTAGTTTTCTAGCTACAATTCTTGGTCAATAGAGCATTTCTATCTTGGGGCATACTTGATGTAGCTTAGGGTAAGACAAGAGTAGGTTTAGCAGTGATTGGAGACCTTGCTGTGGTGATTTTTGTCATTTGAAGTGGTTTGTTTAGTGTTAGATAGTTGAATTGGGGTTACATTTGAGGTTTGGGAGATTAAAGAGCTTGGTGGGTTTAGGAACTTATTTTGATCTACCAAAAGAGGCTGGGGAGTTCATGGGGCAACATTGAACCTGGAAATGTATGTAGGGATATGGTGCATGGATAGGAGCATAGTTACTGGTTGTTCCCTTTCCGGAACATTGCTACCGGAAGATAATCCAAGTGTTTTTGCGTTCGGAAGGCATTCTCGTTTCGTGTTCTGAACTTCTGTGAAATGTCGCGTTGCTTTCCTTTCCCACCACCAGGATATGATAAGAAGGCCAGCAGGACTGACGATGTTGACTTGCTAAATAAGGTTAACACTATTTACGTGTATTTTGTACTATTTTTTATGGTAGAACCAGCATTCATTAGTATCATTACGAGAACGGATTCCCTGATATCTGAATTGGATATGAGTTTGTGCTGTTCAGTTTTTATTTCCAAGCAATGTTAAATGCTCTATACAGTTTTTGCTGTCTTCTCTTAAAATGTATTTTATGTATGCATAATGTTTTGTGATCAGTTTTACTAGTAATTCTGTAATGCCATGCCTTGCTGATTGAAGCTTGTATATAATTTCATAAATTAGGTTGATAGACTGTATATTATGAACATATCATATAGTAATACTTTTCAATATATACAGGAATAGGTGGTCGAACCGGAGCCTTATGTGAAATGGCATATCGTATATGCACACCATTAGGCTGGTGGTGATATTTATGAATGAACGAAATCGTATATTGTATATATGAATATGTCATGTTTTCTATTATAGTTCTCTGATGATACATTTAAGTACTTATAACCTCTAAATATGCATGGCATGAAATTTTTGTCACCTTCTATTTCACCTCACTGGAGTAAAAATTATACTAAATGGTGTTAGGCTTGGTCTAGGGATCACATGACAAAGAATTTAATGTTTTTTCACTAGGTTTTCGAGGATTTATCAGTCATCCTTCTGAATGAGTTACTTTTAACATCTATTCTTACTTCTTACTGAGGGTGACGATCTTGTTTAAAGCCTTTGATAAGTGAGGAGTTGAGTGTGTAGTCGAGCTTGTCCTAGGGTTTAGCTCCCCTCCACTATTTTTGTGTCAACTACTGTTCAATTCAAGTTTGGTCACCATTACAAGCATGACTTTCACAATTAATGAATGAGGTAAGGTCCTACACATTAATGATTCAATTAATGTATTGGAAAGTAATCGATGGGAAAATATTGGATATGATATCAACCCTTTGTCCTATTGGTTTTAGTCTAGAGTTATTTATTAAGAATTCACGAACAAACTTGGTCTGTTTTTACCATATCTGGAAGAATCGGTTTCTTACCAAGTTTTGACATTCTTAATATCTGCTGGAACAGTTGAATCATATACCTTCGACGATTTCCACTGTCATAACCTTTCAAGATGGAAAAACAAAGGGTCTTTTGAGATAATTATCTTCCACGATGACCTTGAAGTAATCCTGTAAAAAAAATTCTTGTCATATGAGTGGTGTGTAATTTGTTGATTAAGGTATTTTCGTAGGTATCTTTATATTTGGACTGATTGTAACTTGGTGCACAATTTATCTTTGGCTAATATATAAAATAGGCTCCTCTAATTGGACTCAAATCGAGTGAGCCCCTGGTTTGAATCATGGGTCAAATGATCTCTTATATGAAAAACTGTGATCAAGTGAGCCCGTATTTGAAAAATTGTGAAGGGGATTATAAAGCCTTTATCTTTAGTAATCACTTTCAATTTTTGCGGGTTAACCGAAGATTTGTTTGTTAGTTTTTGAGGTATATAAATACTTTCTTTTGCATTTGATTAATCAATCTATGTTTTTCTATCATTATTCTTGATTTTCAGGAGAAGCAAAAAGAGAAGAGTCATAAGAAGGAGAAGAAGGACAAGGAAAAGGAGAAGAGAGAAAAGAAAGAAAAAAAAGAAAAAAGGGAGAAAGATGGAAGCGATGGGAAGCACAAGGATAAGGACAAGAAAGACAAAAAGGAAAAACACAAGGACAGAGAAAAAAAGAAGGAAAAGGGACGAGATAAAGAAAAAGATAGAAGTGATAATTCAGAGGAAAAGAAATTTCCTGGTCATCCCGATGGTCAAAATGGGGAGAAGATCTCAGATGATAAAAAATTTCCTGGAAAATCCGACAGTCACAGTGGGGAGAAGTTTATGCAGAAAGAGAAGGGTAGGGATACAGATCGAAGCAGTTTTTCTGGTGAGAAGAAACTTGCTGGGCATGTTTCAGGTTATAATGGGGAGAAAAATGGCCAGAATAGTTATCTGGTTGAAGATTTCCGGGATTCTAAATTGGTGCAGGAGTTGGTGGGGAGGGTCAGAGATGAAGGTGCAGGAGCTGGAAGCCAATTGGTGGATAAGTTTATGGTTAGTGACCGGAAAAAAGATGAGGGAATGGTCAGGTTTGTGGCTAAGACTGCTAATAAATTGGCTGACGAGAAGGAGGCAATCAAGAAAAGCGACGATAGGAAGTTCAATGTGCAAGGAATCAGGGAGGAGACGAGAGCTGGTGGAAATGCTATGGTTCCAAACCTTGCTGGAGCAGCTAAAGCTAGAGTTGAAGGGATCCCCAAACAAGTGGAGAATAATGCCGAGAGGCATGTGGAAGGGAAAGAAAAAATCAAAGAAAAAGGTGATGATAAAATCAGGGATAAGTGCAAGGAGAAAGAAAGAGAGAAGAAAAGTCACGGGAAAGATAAGGATAGGGACAAAGCGAAGGAGGTGAAGTGAAGGTGAAAGGTGAACATAGGAATTTGGAGCTGGATAACTTAAAAGGAAGCAACAAGATGACCCTCTTAATACTGTTAATCTGAAAAAATCACATCCTTCTAAGGAGGGAAACAACGGTGCTTTTGCTGAGGAAAATCTCCGCAAGCGGAAGGACATGGAGAAAAATGGATTTCTTCATGGTGAGTTTTATACCATGATTGTATATACAATCCCATTGATCACTTGAAAAATTTTTTGGTGTTAATTTAGGTAGGTGATCACTTGAACCTTTGGTGCCTTTTATCTGTTAGAAAACCTGTGAATAAAACCGTGCAATTGCATTAATGGCTATAATTTGATTATCATTTTTTTTCTTACAAGGGGATGGAGTTCGAAAACTCTATAACCATCATGGTGACAGGTTCTGCTTTCTTTCTTTTTTTTCTTACAGTTGATGATTTTAAACTCAATAAGTTGCCCAAGATTTCTTCCTCTCAATCGTTGACGGGCAATGGAAAGACATTGGAGTATTGTCAAGCTCCCATTCCACTTACTTTAGATAGCAAGGGACCAGGAACCAGTCTTAAAGTTGAGCATAAAGAACGCAAGTTGAATGATATTGTTGAAGCTCAGCTGTCATCTGTCACCCCGACAAAGCATTTATCATCAAGTGCACAAGCTAGTCAAATTGATGAAGTGTCTATCAAGTCACCTCATCCGGATTCGAAGTATTTGAGCCAGGTACTTTCTGTGCCTAAAATGGAAGAATGGTCCGGTGTTGATGACCAATCATGGCTATTTCACAGTACTGATCCTCAATCAAAGAAACCCAAGGTGGGATTTTCGGAGATTGATGAGCCACCACAAGTATGGGCAGGGGCTCTGCAAATAGAGTCAGCTGATATTTATGCTCTTCCATACGTTATTCCATACTGATTATCTTTATTGGTGGGCACATGGTTAACCTTCCTACACTGGAGCTGGGTTTTTCCCTTTGGGGGCGGATTCTTTGGTTTTCTATTCAGCATTCTTTTGTTGTCGATCTGGAGTGTTGCAGTGAATGTTTTTGAATGACTGGCTGCCAAACCGCTCTGTCACGGCAACCATCACTTTGCTCTTATCAGGTCATTCCACCTCCTGGAAGTGTAGGCTGTGTATTTGCGTCCTGGTTTGAGACTACTAATTCATTCAAATCACACGAAGCAATGAAAGCAACCATCCTTAGGAAAAGGTAATGTATAAGCTTGTGCATTCTTATCTGAATTGCTTAAAGCTGAGATGCTCTTTCTAATTGAGATTGTGAGAGGAACTAGCTGTGGGCCTTTGCAATTCCACTGCAATTTTGATTTGTAACATAGAACTCTTATATTTACAATAAATGTAAGATAGGGGGAAAGGAAAGTAGTGGCATTCATTTATTCACCTCTCCTGTTAGTGTTTTTATCAGATTCGAGTTTTGTGTTCCTTTGCCCCTTGTTTCCTTGTTGCTCCATTTCAAAGCTTTGTCTAGGCCTTGAAATTAACCACACCATTTTTCTGTCTGAAACATCCTGTTCTCAAATCTTTCTTATATGACATCCTCTGCTTTTTCAAAGATCCTCAATATTAGCAGGTATATATTCGTATCTAGAACACACGTCGGTTTAAGGAACAGCTTCCGAGTATATATCGCTTCTCTTTTATACTGTTGTTGGAAAATCAAGTATGGCAAAGCATTTTTGGAGACATTATTTGTATGCATGCAATAAGGTATAAAGTTTGTAAATCCTTATCCCTTTCTCCTTGTGTAAGCATTTGATTGGGAGGAATGACTATTGCATTGTCTCCTATGGGGCATTTTAATGGAATGTGATTGATGGAATGTTGTTATTAAGAAAGTTATTTCGCATCGTTTGGTATCCATTGAAAAGTATGATTAAATTCTCGGGAAAGTTAGTCGTCGGCCCTTTTTGAATTGCCGGCCAGTGAACAATATGGTTTTATTGAACGTTTTGTCATTCGCCTTTATGAATCTATGGAATGACCCAAAAAAATGAAAATCACAGAGGCTCCAAGACCAAAATATATATGAAAACAGTCAAATTTAACACAAGTAAAACTCGAATGGATTTATGTACAACATTGAAAGACAAGTGGTGGCATTTGGTTCTCAGATTAGCACTTGAGCTGATGATCAAATCACCACTATATATAGAGAGACGAGGAAGATTTCTGTACAAAAGAAAGACCAAAAAAAGCTACCAGATTTTTGTGTATACATTTGAGGGTGAAAAGGAAGTCTCGTTTATAGTTCTTTAGACATTTCTTCCTTTGCCTGCGCATGACATTCTCCCTCCGGCATCATTGTTCATGCTTCTTCTCTTCAGCTCTGATAGCTGAGATTGCCATAGATTTTTCCACTCACTCCGATCTTCTAGTTTCTGGTTGTGAAGAGAAATGTAAGAATTCAAAGCAAACGTAACGGATTCTGTCAACGGATCGAAAGAACAAAATATGATAGGAATGTCCGACAACTCCTAACCAGATTACTAGGCATATTTCTCAGCACAAAACAAACACTTGCCGGCTCAAGATTGAAAAGGGAAAGCAACTTTCACAGGAAAATAAAGCAATCCAAAAGTAAAAGATTCGGAATAAAGATTTTCCAAATTAAGAGGCCAGACAAAACCTAATGATTTCATCATTAGCATTAAATCACACCAGGCAAATCCTATTTGCAAGAGCAGTAACAAACAAGGCCTTTTTGTTTCCCTCATAACCATTGCAAACCGGGGATCTTAAGCATACAATGATACAAGTGCGATGATTAGACGACGAATCATGAACTGACTGAACCGACTAAGAAGTACCATAGCAAAGAAGGATGACTAACAACCAATTTATCATTTGCAAAGGAAACAAACAAAGCAAATTTCATCATACTTGGAAACCATACAAAGAAAAGTACAGTTCAACCTATTGATAAAAAGAATATAGTGAAATAGAGTTGATTGCTTATTATTCCACGTACCGGTAACTACACAGGAACTTCATATGGATTCAAGAAGCAAACATAACTTGAACAGACAGCTGAGCTACTCACTTTCATCTTAGACTCAAAGATATAATCTACAGGCGAAGACAATAAGGTTAACCTGTTCAGAAGAAAACGATTTCTTGAAAACAATTTCGGTATTTACTTGTATTTCTTTCACAAGAGATAACTTGGTCAACAAAAAAATTAGCCCTTTTTTTCCCTGTGCGTGTGTGAAAATGTGTCGCACTTCTGAAAATCATGATGAAGCAAAGTAGAAAAAGGGAAGATTCCTTACGTGTAGGGACCGATCTCTTCTAAAATCAAAGCGAAAAAGGATCAATCATTGAATTCAAGCTTTGAGATACGAAAAAAAACGACCGAAGATATTTTACAGGATGATCACAACAACACAAAATATCAATTTTCACATAAAAATCCTTTGTTTGAAAAATTCAATTTCCTCAAAACAATCGTAAAGTAAGTCACGGGATGAAGTACTGAGTCAACACCTTTCATATCCATGAAGCTTAGCAGATACAATATGTTGTCTGTGTTTTAGTCAAGCACAAATAAGAAGCAAAAGAAGATCAAAGAAACTTATGTGAACTTCAACACTTGACCATCAGTTTTGAGCTTTCCTATCTTCAACAACAGTCAAAACAATTTAGCTTGAGAACTTCGTCAAAGCATCAATCCAGTCCCCCAAATTGACACCCAAATGATTAAAATTTTGAGATTCCAACTTAAAAGTTACGAAAGTTAAGCAAAACCCAGATGCGAAATACTCCCACAGGGGGGGGGGTGAACCCCAAAGCTAATATTAATACAAAAATAGAAACAAAAACGTATAAAAAATACCTCATCGTATTGGTAACGCCGTCTAGCATAGAAAGCAAGGTGAAGCCCGAAAGCCAAATTCTTATCATACAAAGCTCTCCTCCTCGGATCCGACAAAGTCTCATAAGCTTCCTGGACCCGAATGAATCGCTCCTCATACTCCTCGATCCGATCCGGCGGCGACACGTCCGGGTGGCACTTCCTAGCCAGCTGCTTATACGCCTGCGTTAACTCCAGCAAAGTACCCTTCTCGGGAATCCCCAGCAGCTCGTAAAAGCTCAGCCCTTTCCTCGCTTCATCGATCTTCGCCCTGATTTTGAACGACCCAAATTTTATCTAGGTAGTTTGAGGAAGGAAGTTTCCGGCGAAAAGAAACGGGCGTCGGTACCCGGTAACCCCGCCAACCCATAACCGCAACGCATCTTAGGAGACCCTGGAAACGATTTATTTGCTAATTATAAGTGAATTTTGTTCATTTTTTTTATTGTTGTTGGAGATTTGCAAAAACTGAAACAAAATTTGGAAGCAAAAATGGTAAAAGAAAAAGGGGAAATGTGATTGTGTGGAGAGGGGAGAAAGGTTCTAACAAATGGATATTAGCAAGGAAAATGATATTTGTTGGGTGCTGAAAACGAAAGGGATTTTGTTTGGAGGGAATGAGGACACGTGTTGATTCCGAATTTGAACTAAAACCTAATTATTATTAGATAATTTTATGAAAATAATATTCATTTAATAATTCTATAAAATTAATTTTTTACTAATTTATGTAAATACAAGGTAATATATGTTTATAGATAATTTTTACTATTTGATATTAATCACTTACTATTTTGTCCTGAAATTTCTTGTGCTCGAACATGAGACCTTAAAAAATAATAATAATTCTTTTATCACGTAGACCGTTTGGTTTATGGATGAAAGTGATTTGTTTGGAGGAAATGAGGATATTGAACGCTCGAACGCTCTTCCCTTGATGTTCTTGGTGATGATCTTGGTGTTCAAACTTAGGTGGCGTTTGGTTGGAGGGAATCTACTCTCATCAATCCTTTTGTAACTTATTCATATATTGAATAAAAATATTTTTTATTATTTTGGGTCGGGTCGGGTCGGGTTCGGGTTTAGGGTGAAAAAAATCGGACCGACCCGAAAATATATATAATTCAGGTCGGGTCGGATTAAGTCATTGTTTTTATTAAATAAAAATATTTTTTTATTATTTCGGGTCGGGTCGGGTTGGATTTCTAATTCATATATTCGAGTCAGGTCGGATGAAACTTTATTTTGTTCGGGTCGAGTCAGGCTTGGGTTTAGGGTGAAAAAAACCGGATCGCCCGAAAATATATATAATTCGGGTCGGGTCGGATTAAGTCACTGTTTTTATTAAATAAAAATATTTTTTTATTATTTCGGGTCGGTCGGGTTGGATTTCTAATTCATATATTCGGGTCGGGTCGGATGAAACTTTATTTTGTTCGGATCGGATTGGGTTTTTTAAGTGTGATATTTGGGTCGAGTCGGGTCGGGTTTTTTTAAGTGTGATATTCGGGTCGGTTTGGGTTTAGGGTGAAAAAAACCGGACCGATCTGAAAATATATATAATTCGAGTCAGGTCGGATTAAGTCACTGTTTTTATTAAATAAAAATAATTTTTTATTATTTTGGGTCGGGTCGGATGAAACTTTATTTTGTCCGGGTCGAATCGGGCTTTTTAAGTGTGATATTCGGGTCGAGTCGGGTCGGGTTCTTTTAAGTGTGATATTCGGGTTGGATCGGGTTAGGTTCGGGTTTAGGCTGAAAAAACCGGACCGACCCGAAAATATATATAATTCGGGTCAGGTCGGATTAAATCACTGTTTTTATTAAATAAAAATAATTTTTTATTATTTCGGGTCGGTCGGATTTCTAATTCATATTTTCGGGTCGGATGAAACTTTATTCTGTTCGGGTCGAGTTTTTTAAGTGTGATATTCGAGTCGAGTCAGGTTGGTTTTTTTAAGTGTGATATTCGGGTCAGTTCGGGTCGGGTTCGGGGTTAGGGTGAAAAAAACCAGACTGATCCGAAAAAAATATATAATTTTACCTTATATATTTAGGAATAATTATAATAATATCCCTCTATATTTAATTTTTTCAATTAAGTCAATGTTTTTATTGAATAAAAATAAATTTTTTATTATTTTGAGTCGTGTCGGGTCGAGTTTCTAATTCATATATTGAATAAAAATAGTTTTTGGTATATTTTTTGGTAACTAATTAACATACTCCGATTGGAATGTATCGAAATATTGTTCTATCTTTTGGTAACTTATTAACATATTTTGATTGCGATAATTTTAACTTATGATTTTATTTGCATGATTTTTATAATTTATTGAAATGAATAATCAATCAATAAAATGAAAATTTAATATTTTTAATTTTTTTTATAATATATTACTACATGTAAGTTGTAAAATAAACCAAAATAAAGCCAAAAAAATAAGAAGGGCAATTCTGTCATTTTACATTACTGAAATCAAATTCATCTGACATGTCTGCGAACCAAACAGAATATGGAATTGGATTCCA